GAGTTAGAAACATCAATGAGAGAAATCGATCAGCTGCCTCCTGCACGCCCCTTATGGGGGATGTGCCCGCAACCAAGGTACATGCCCTTGACCAGATTCGAACCTGGGACCCTTCAGTACATAGGCCGACGCTCTATCCATTGAGCCAAACCGGTTCGGCTTAAATATCATTTTTAGTATGATATGACTTATAAAATACAAGAGACTTGTGTTGAGCAGAACCTACAACAGCTAATGCCACGAATCCCACTAGTGCTCTGGGTCTGTGGCCTTGCCAACTTCCCACTATAAATCCTTTCAGGGATTACCCCCTCAGTCAAAATAATTTCCCCAGTCCAGTTGTCTTTACTCAACTACTTGCTCATTTTAAAAAAAATTGTTAGGCTGACTCAGTGGATAGAGCGTCAGCCTGTGGACTAAAGGGTCCTGGGTTCCATTCTGGTCAAGGGCACATGCCTGGGTTGTGGGCTCGATTCCCCAGGAGGGGGTGTGCAGAAGGCAGCCAATAATGATTCTCTCTCATCATTGATGTTTCTATCTCTCCCTCTCCCTTCCTCTCTGAAATCAACAAGAATATATATTTTTTAAAAAGTTAGTTTTATGCCCAATTTCATGTTTTCAGGGAACTAAACTGGATCCTGTTGACAATGTGGTGTGTTTTTATATCTTTCTAAGCTATTCTCCAAACTAAAATTCATTTTGGGAATACCGCCTTTCCTAGGACACTGGACTAATTTAAAACAACCTCAGTTTTTGAGTTTTCATTAGCTGTGAGTTAAGGGGAAAGAAACCCAGAGGTGCATTCCATTTAATTTAGATTTTTTTAAAAATGGTCTGTTGAGCTTAAAAAGCATTTTATATTTATGTAAGTTGTACTCCAAAAGAGGCTGTCCTTGATACTGACATTGAAAAGATAAGAGAGGTAGATAAGCTGTGTGTAACGTTACTCTGGATAGGAGCCAGTACTCTTCTGCCATAAGGCGTGTTGGAGCCAAAAGCAAATAATTGCGACCCCAAAATAAGGGAGTGATTTTAGAGAGAGTGGAAGAGAGAGGGAAAGACAGAGACAAATATCTAGGGAGGAAAGACACATCGATTAGTTGCCTCCTGCATGCACCCTGACCGGGAATTGAACCCATGACCCTTTGGTGTGTGGGCCAAAGCTCTAGCCACTTAACAACACTAGCTAGGGCAAGAAAATGGTTTTTTAAAAAAATCTTATTTTGGCTGTTTGTCTTCTGCTTTGGGGGCATCAGTACTTGATACCGCTTTTATATTTGTTTTTGTTTCTTAAAAATCCTCTGAACCAGCACCGGTTTGGCTCAGTGGATAGAGTGTCAGCCTGCGGACTGAAAGGTCCCAGGTTCGATTCCGGTCAAGGGCATGTACCTTGGTTGCGGGCACATCCCCCAGTAGGACATGTGCAGGAGGCAGCTGATGGATGTTTCTCTCTCATTGATGTTTCTAGCTCTCTATCCCTCTCCGTTCCTCTCTGTAAAAAATCAATAAAATATATTTAAAAAAAAATCCTCTGAATTGTACACACAAAAATCTGAACAGCATATCTCTTAGTTTAGATTAATTGTGGCCTCTGTGTTCTAGTTCTTAATAGCCCCCTATTCTGAAGGATGACAAAACAGATTAGTTCTGAGAATGATTTATATGTTGACTCTTTATAGATTAGATGTCTGTGAGAAGGCTGTATTTTTAAAGCAAGGAGTTTGTACAATTTTCATAAAATTTAAAGTTTTTCATATACAAGGAAGAATATTACAGAACAATTCTTATTTGTTTGTTTTTGGGCTCCAGTAGATGTCGATCTCTTGTCTTTTGAAGATATGATTGTTTTAGGATTACTTTAATTTTTGACTTCTAAAAATCCACATTTAAACTTATACATTTTCTATAATTGCTTTGTTTGAACTATAACCATCAACAGTAGCTCACATAGACAAATGCAGACTCTACATAATCAAAGTTAGAAAAATAGCATAAAGTATAGGTGATCTGACACTGTTGCTCAAATCATCTTGCTAATGGCTTTCTCTTGATTGGGCATATTGATATTCCAGATTGATGAGTGCTTTGTCCTTAATTCCCAGTAAATCGAAAAGCAAAAGGATAAAATTCACCTGTAAGAGGGGAGATGTAGAAGATTCTTTTTTTTAATCTTTAATTTCTTTATTGGTTAAGGTATTACAAATGTGTCCTCATCCCCCGACTCATGCTCTCATCCCCCTATTGTCCCTGTCCATTGGTTTGGCTTATATGCACGCATACAAGTCCTTTAGTTGATCTCTTCCCCTTCCCCCCACCCTCCCCTACTTTCCCTCTGGGGATTGATGTTTTTTTAACATTGCAGTTGTTGTTCAATACTCAGTAATTTTCTCTTGTAATTAATTTTGGGTAGAAGATAGTTTGAAGAGAATAAGATGGTCAAACATGCCTTATAATTGATCTTAATTCATACTGTCTTGTATTTTAGAGTAAATATTCGTGGGATTTGAAGTTTACCTTACTTGAATGATGAGTTAAAAATATGTTTCTAAGTATTTAATACTTTTGGCCCCTCTGATGTCTAGAATTTTAGGTGGGGAAATGTTCTCTACTAAAGTAACCACTAATTCTTGAGTAAACAATATTATAACTTTTGTTTAGTGGCACGAAAGATTCTAGTATCCAAAATTTTATTTTCTGTTTAAAACAAACCATCACCCTCACAGGTGAATATGTTATCTTAGGTATGTTACTATGAAAGACGGGGCAGAGATGAGTCTTTCTGTACAGGTTCTGTGTTTCCTCTCCTCTCTGTTCCACTTCCATCCAGCTGTCATCCTCCAGGATCCCTCATCTCTGGTGCCCATGGTTGCGTGTCCATCCTTTGTCCTGAAAACACTGCTTCTGACTGGTTCCTTCCTCTGAATTCAGTCTCAGTTACCACGAGTCTTCCGTCTTTCTCGACACTGTTTTGAACAAGAATATTTTAATTCATTTGATATTTCTGTATTCTACCCAATACTAGAGTTCCGTTACTACCACAATCTGCAGTTTCCTTAGTTTTTTTCAAGAAGTTGTTTTTAAGAAATTATTGTGTTATTAAAAACAAAAAGTTATTAAGAATATAGTTGAGGAATCATATTAACCGTTTGGCTGCTGACGTATTTTTTCGGACATATGCCAAAACTGCGGCACTAATTGTGCGTGTATGGGAAAAAATGTAAAACACTTTTTATACAAATTCTAGTGTTTTGGAGCAGCATTATTACACTCTCCGCAGTCTTGGCATAAAAAAAATCCAGGAGCGCTGTCGCGCTCTTCGCATTTTTGGAGTAACATAAGAAGAGCGCGATAGCGCTCCTTAGCAGTCAAACGGTTAAATAAATATTTGACATACTGTAAATATTTCCCAAAACTTCAATAGATGGATTAATTTCTATCTACTTATAATTTAATCTGTTTGTTGTATAGAGCTGTTCAACAGAATTTCTTGACCTACCCTATGAAAGATAGGTAGAAATCAGAATTAAATTAGTCTATTGCATCAACAAAGAGCCACAGTGATTTTTTTCAAAATTTAATCTTACTCCTTTATTGTAGGTTGATGAGAGCAGATGCATGTAACCGCTAACTTATTTATATAATCTTTCAAGGAATATATATTTAATCAGAGCATTGATACTATTCCTTATAGATATTTTTACCTTTGTTTAATCTCATGTACTTTTTAGAAATTTCATCACCCATTCCTCCCCTTGTAGATATAAGAAAGTGGTAATTGAAGCGTTGCAAGGCCAAACATATTTCCCTATTCACTCATATTCTAAATAAAACTAATAAAGCTTTATTTTATTTTCCCCCCTCTCTAAAATCAATATGCATAAACTTGGGCGAGGATTTTAAAAAATGCAAAAGGCTTAGAGGCCAGGAAGACCTAATTGTATAAAATGGGAAGAAATTGACAGTTCAAAAGAAATCTGAATTTTATTCTCAGCCCTAAAAGACTTCCATTTGGAACTGCAGAGCAGTGCACATTAAATTTTTTATACCCAAGTGATTACTTAGTTACTATGTAGTTACTGAATAGGTTCAATTATATTGACTTTTTCTTTTCAGTTTCTTTTGCTGCATTTTGCCCATATTGTTACAATATGCCTAGTAATTTGGTGTATTCTATCATACACAGAAATACTGACATTGAATTGCAGAAGCCAAGATCCTGGGGAAGGGCTAATGTATTACTGATCTGATTTTGTTGTCAAATACAACTAGTAATTAATTTATCATTTTTTTTTATTTTTTTTTATTTTTTAATATATTTTATTGATTTTTTACAGAGAGGAAGGGAGAGAGATAGAGAGTCAGAAACATCGATGAGAGAGAGACATCGATCAGCCACCTCCTGCACATCCCCCACTGGGGATGCGCCCGCAACCCAGGCACATGCCCCTGACCGGAATCGAACCCGGGACCCCCCAGTCCGCAGGCCGACACCCTATCCACTGAGCCAAACCGGCTTCGGCTAATTTATCATTTTTAAGAGTATTAAAATGTTTCCTAGTTTAAATAAAACCAAACATGAATTAGCGAAAGCATTGTTGGAATATGTAATGCTTGTGCATATTATCTAGCGCAGTGGTTCTCAACCTTCTGGCCCTTTAAATACAGTTCCTGATGTTGTGACCCAACCATAAAATTATTTTCGTTGCTACTTCATAACTGGAATGTTGCTACTGTTATGAATCGTCATGTAAATATCTGATATGCAGGATGGTCTTAGGCGACCCGTGAGAGGGTCATTCAACCGCCAAAGGGGTCGCGACCAACAGGTTGAGAACCGCTGCTCTAGAGATTCAGAAGAATGAATGGCAACAAGAAACACCTGAGAACCGCTTTCAGGCTGACCTTACGTAACCCTCCTCTATGGACATTCTGTGACTAATGGGCAGTTCCTTTACTTCCTTACCAAGCCTGTGACAGCTGCCCTTCTCTCCTCCTTCCAGGACAGAGGTCAGGTCAAGGCAGCCCCTTCAGGATGACCTTCCTTTCCTTGAGAAACCCCCAAGCAGGCAGCTTTCCTTACCAAACCTGTCTCCAGAAGAACCTCCACTGAAGACGCCCCTGGCGAATGAAGAAGCGCTGCAGAAGATCTGTGCTCTTGAAAATGAACTCGCTGCTCTCCGAGCGCAGATTGCCAAAATTGTGACCCTGCAAGAACAGCAAAATCTCCCTGCAGGTCTGTAAGTCCTACATTTGTTTTAACCAGCGAACTGGGAATCAGAAGCACGTCACTGTAATTTTAGAATTTATTCCTCTGCATAGTCCAGGCCCCAATCAGGCTTAAGTGGTTTTGTTTGTTTTGAACAGTCTTGATGCTATCAGAGAGGATAAGTGGGTATATTTGGAAAACACTGAAATTCCTGCACTTGAATTACTACCTAGGTGAATGCTATGGGGAACTTAATGGCACTGATCCTCTCAGACATGAGGCCATCTTGGCCCCGACAGGGTTGAGTGCTATGTACTTACCTAGAAGTCCCGAGGCAAGGACTCTGCCTTTCTACTTCCCCTTCCTGCTCTACAATGGGACCAACAGTAGCTATGTTAGAGTTATCATGGGAGAAAACATGGAAATGATTATAAAATGCCTTTAGCACATAGTAGCTACTTAATAGTCATTTTCTCTTGCCCAGGATAGAAACTGAATTCAGGTCCCCTGACTCCTAGTCTAATACTGTTGCTTTTATTTGTGTGGCATTATCACTTTGAATAAGAAACCATAAACTTGAAATCCTAGTCCATTAACCTGTTGGCAAGTAGTGGCTGTTTTCCCCAGTGTTGTCCCGAGTCCTGGCTAGATTGAGGATTAAGCAACTCTGTCTAAAGGATAAGGACAGTACAGTTACTCTACCTCTGAGCCACTTGGCTTGTGCTCCTGGAGTTTAATGTAATCCAACCTTGTAAGGCCAAGGTGGACAGAGGGCAAATGCACTCAGAGGAGTAATCGTGTTTAAATGGAAAACCAAACATCCTGCCCCTTTCTTCCAGCTTTAAGTTGCAGTTCTTTTGCTTTACCTCCCTCTCCTGGCAGACTAGGTAAAGTGCCATAAGTAGTGAAATAATTTGGGGATTTATGTTTGGTGGTCTGTTTATAATAAAAATCCTTGAGTGAAACATTTTTACATCCCCTAATCAATGTAGTTCACCCCAAAGAAAACTCTCTAACCTCTAATTGTGCAGAAAGATGAGTTTTTAGGTCATTGTTATATAACCACTTTAACTCTTACCTTAGTTAACTTTTGGTAATTAAGTGTAACACTTTCTTTTTCTTCCAGTTAATCTAAATCCTTTCAAACACATTCTAGTCAATGGAGGTGCATAATGCTTAGAATACTGTATATGTGAATAGTATATTTAAAATGAACCACAAATTTATCCAATAGTTTTTTAAAAGTTGTTATAGTCCTAAATTATCTAACTGAATATAATGAAGATAATTATTTATGCTGCACAGACTACTTTATATTTCATCTCAAAGGAGTTTCAAACTGTGCCAGTCAGGCTTGACCATTTGATATCACAAAAACACTCCTGTTAAGTTAAATGGAACTTTTCCATCGGGAGAGTTTGGGATTAAATGATACAGTGACTGATTTAGATTTTAACCAAGTAACTGAAACTTCCTTTTTACTCCCATAACTAAGATTCTTTTTATGGATATTGTTTTCAGGCATATAAAAGTCCTTAACATGATTTAAAAATTTTATTTGCCTGTTACCATTAGGATTAAAATTAATATTTCCTTATTTTTGTGGGTGATTTAGATTCTAGCACATCTGTTACCACAGCACCACCATCTGTCCCACCACCTCCCCCTCCGCCACCCCTCCCTCCGCCAGCGCCCCAGCAGAACACATCTGCTGTCGATCTGATCAGAGAGCGGAGAGAGAAAAAAGCTGGTGCTGGAAAGACGTTGGATAAGCACAGCCCAAAGAAACCTGCTATGCCAAACATGCTAGAGATCCTTAAAGATATGAACAGTGTAAAACTTCGGTCAGTAAAAAGGTGAGGACACATTTACCTTCTTTCTCGCTTCCTTCACTTTAATGTCTTGTTCAAGTACTGGGCTTCTTGAGAATTTTGCTTTATGATTACTATGAATAGTTCAAATTTTTAATTTACAAAAGATGGGCCCTTGTGGCTCCTATGCACAGTTAACTAAGAAATTAGCAAAATGAACATTTCCAGGTTACTTTTTCATCCCCCCACCCCCCGTTGCATTTAAAACCCTTTCATTTAGTAAAGTCTTCATTGTCAGCCACTCACTCAGTAAAGCCATGTTGTGTACCCACTTTGGTAGTCACTAGGCTTCTGGAATAGGATGGAACCATACCTTGCCCTGAAAGAACATGATCAGTGCTCTTGAGATGAATTGAGTGGCTATTAATTGGGCCTGAAATCTCAGGTTACACCTCACTGCTAGCACTGTCTTCACTGAGTGTCTTTGGTGCTAGAGAAGTGCTGTCAGCATACTGACATGTCCCCTTGGTTTCTGCTCACTTCTCCAAGGTCAGAACAAGATACAAAGCCCAAACCTGTGGATGCTACTGACCCTGCTGCCCTTATAGCAGAGGCTCTGAAAAAGAAATTTGCTTACCGGTACCGAAGCGATAGCCAAGATGAGGCTGAAAAAGGAGTTCCAAAGTCTGCGTCAGAGGCCCCTTCAGAAACAGTGCTGGTGAGTATCAGGTCAGGCTTCTTTCCTGCTACAACGTAGGTAGTAGTTCGAGCCATTGCTGAGCACCTACATTTTACAAGCTAGTGAGCCGTGGACTTAGTCTTTACATACAAGCAGATTACTTACAGAAAAGCATAAAGGAGGAATAAAAGTTACCCCCTGGTTTCACTGCTTAACATCTCCAATGGTAAATTTCTCATGCTGCGTTTAATTCTACTTAAGCATAATGAAGTCAAACTTATTAAATAAAATTGATATCTTTGGACTATGTGTTGTGATATATAGAAATTCAAAGTAAAGAAAGATCATTTTCTCTTAGGGCGGGTGCCCTGTGAAAGTCTGCTGAAGAGGCTGAGTTGACCTGGGCCTTGCAGGATGTGTCATAGGTGGAGAAAAGCTCCCATAAAATCTGCTCAATTCTTACTCTGTACATTCCTTTTATTCAAGTTACTGTCCTGGGGGACACCTGCTTATCTGGTCCAGAGAGACAGGTATCTTAGAAATTCTAGCATCTTTGAAAGTCTTCATAGACAATGAAAAGAAAACATTGTGGTACTTCTTTTACTCACAGAAGTAGAGTTACTTAGAGCTTGCTAAGATGATTGTACTTTTCTAGGAAGCATCTTGGTCAGCTCTCTGCCTTTCATTCTGTTATGTTTTTAACGACCTGTCAATTCTTAAAAGTTTTAATATCTGACTGCTTGGCTTTTTTTTTTTTTTT